AGGGAGAAGAAGAGCAAGGTGGAGCATACAATCACACAGATCCTGGATGTATAGTTTGGCTTGAAGTACAAGGGGCAATCAAGGGAGGATTTCAAGAAAGAAATTATATTGTAGCTACTTAGGAGGCAGAGATTAGGAGGATGATAGTTCCAGGCTGGTCCAGGCAAAAAGTTAGCAAGATCTCATCTGAACAAATACATTGAGGCTAGAGATGTGGCTCAAGTGGTAGAGCACCTGCTTGGCAAGCATAAGGTCTTGAATTCAAACCCACATACTGCCAAGAAAGGAAGGAAGAAAAGATAGAAAGGGAGGGAGGGAGGGAGGGAGGCAGGTTGGTTGTGTTGCCAACATTTTAGACTATACATCTACCACAATATAGAAATATAGACCTCTGAAATGGAAGAGAAAGCCCAAAATTAATCCTTGTGTGTATTGCCAATTGTTTTCAAGGAAGGTGATGTGATCATTCAATGGGGAAGGAATAGTTTTTTCAACAAATAGTGCTGGGAAAGTGGGATGTGTGATGCAAGAGAATTAAGGTGGAAGGTAACTTACACATGGACAGCAAGGAGTTAACTCAAAAAACATTAAGTATGAATCAGAGACATAGGCATGAAGGCTAAAATGATACAACTCCTACAAGAGAAGGGGACTGGAGAGAGAGGCCATGTGCAATCAGGGGGGCTGCTCTGTAGGGAGGAGAACAGAACAACCAGGCAGGGGAAATCAGATGGGCCAGAGAGAAGCAGAATAGAGCTGGATGCCTTTCCTGCCACAGGAGGCCCAGCGGGACATCGTGCGCCTCATTCCTTCCTGCAAGACTCACCAGATCCTTCTAGAAAAGGACTTTAGAGCTAGACTGACTGTATCTCTCTTCCTCAAAATGAAGCAAGCTCTGGTTCAAAGGCAGAGAGCCCAGCTGAGGTCGGGGAGGGTCACAGCCTGGGGACACAAAAATGGAGGCAGTTGTTTTCTGAAGTCAGCTCCATGGAAACAGATAAGCTGGCTGGTTTTTCTTCTCTCTCTCTCTCTCTCTCTCTCTCTGTGCCTAGCATTCTGCCTGCCACACTGCCTTCAGCAAACAGTTGTTGAAAGGGGGCTAAGGAGCTCTGCCATTAAGCTACAGAGATCTGGGGTTCTCAGTTCTTATTCTCCAAATTTACACCCAACTGGTACTTAGGGAATTTCATTTTTCTGCCTTTGCTACTATTGGGAATGGCCAAGCTTAGTTCTGCACAAGGACTTATGGCTAATGGGTCTAAAGCCAACATTTATGTTAAATTTGAAATCTTCTAGAATCTTGGGTATTCTGTGAAGTTTGAGTTCTGGGATCCCAGCAATTTTCAACACATCAGGTAAAGAGAGGTTACTTTGTCAATGCACAGGACCCACAAATTGATTTTTAATTTACTAGTACAGTTGGCTCTCTATGGCATGGGCTCCATGTCAGCTGACTCAGCCAACTGTGTACTGAAAATATTTGGAAAAGTATGTCTATACTGAACATGTGCAGACTGTTTTTTTGTCATTATTTCCTAACATACAGTGTCACTACAGTTCCATCTCATTTACACTGACTTAGGTATCATAAATAATTGAGGTGCTTTACTGTACACAGAGGATGTATAGGCTATATGCAAATATGTCATCCTCAGATGTCACCACCCAAGGAGGGGCCTGGACAAACCCCCATGAATACCAAGATTGTCTATTCTGTATATTTCAGAGGTGAGAGAAAATATCACTTCCCTTTTAAAACAGAGGCATGATTTCAAGAGATTCTTAGCAAAACCAGAGCTCTGCTCATTTCATTTTTCTCAGTCATTCCAACCAACAGTGCACGTGTCATTTTTAACATGGTAAAACTAGAAACCACCTCATTTTACAAAATGAGGGAAATGGTTACAAAGATAAACATTTATCATCAAGTTGGGTGGTAAATGCACAAATTAAAATGGTAAACCCAAGACTACATAGTTTAGGGTTTATAAAAAATAGTTAAGCCAGGCACTGGTGGCTCATGCCTGTAATCTTAGCTGCTCAGGAGACTGAGATTTTAGGATTGCAGTTCAAAGCCAGCCTGGGCAGGAAAATCTGTGAAACTCTTATCTCCTAATAACCACCAAAAACCAGAAGTGGCGCTGTTGTTCAAAGTGGTAGAGCACTAGCCTTGAGCTGAAGAGCTCAGAGACAGCACCCAGGCCCATAATTCAAGCCCCACAACAAACAAAACCAAAACCAAAAACATAGTTAAGTGAATAAAGACGAATGCAAAATTAAATGAATAATTTCATTATGACCATGTGAAAAAGAGGTTTTTAGCTATAAAGATGTGAAGATGCCAAAAGGAGATAAAAATACTTAATGCAAATTGGTGAGGCTGTTCATAAGAAGTCAGTGCTAGGTTTGGACTTGGGGCCTCATGTTTGCTTAGCTTACTTGCTCAGCTGTACCACTTGAGCCAAATCTCCAGCCTTGTTTTTTGGTGGTTATATTGGATCTGAAGTCTTTTCTGCCTAGGCTGGCTTTGAACCACAATCCTCCAGATCTGTTTCCTGAATAGCTGGGGTTATAGGAGTAAGTCACTGGCACTTGTCAAACATTTTAATATATTTAAATTTTACTGAGGAATTTGTGGTAGTAAGCTGCCTGATTAGATCAGAGGGAACTGACGGTGGATCCAACTCTTCAAGGCAGAAGGCCTTCAAGAGTAGTTTTTGGAACAGAAGCAGCAGCAGTCTAGAAACTTGTTAGAAATCCATATTGTGGGCTAATTATTGACTTTGAAATTCTGGATCTGGGGGAGTAGGTGGGCACAGTAACCTTGCGTGCGTGCGTGCGTGCGTGCGTGCGTGCGTGCGTGCGTGCGTGTTGGTACTGAGCCTTGGGTGCTGTCCCTTAGCTTTTTCACTCAAGACGTACTCTACCACTTAAGCCACAGTTCCACTTCCAGATTTGGATGGTTAATTGAAGATAAGGGTCTCATGGACTTTCTTGTCTGGGCTGGCTTTGAACTTCAATCCTCAGATCTCAGCTTTCTGAGTAGCTAGGATTAGAGGCATGAGACACTTGTGCCCAGCAGCAATGTGTGCTGTGAGAAGCCCTCCAGTTAACTGTGATGGCTGAGTGAGTTTATGATCCACTGCTCTCTAACTTGGTGAAAACTCATTCTGATATTCGGTGAGCCCATGTCTCCAAAGTTCACTTTTGTACTCATGTTATATCCCTAAATACTACAACTGCTGATTATAAGAGCTCCATATTACTTTGGGCCAAGTTCAAAGTCTTCACATGACAGTGGAAGTTCTCCTTTTGCTACTGATTTTCATCTCACTATTACAGCTGGTGAACACGGATGTGTATGTGTGAGGTACTTTTAAGTCCATTGTCTCAGTCCTTACAACAACCCTTCAGGGAAGATAATATTAATGTCTTGGCTTATGGGTGAAAAAATTAAGACTGAAAGAAGTTTAAGATCATCACACTAGTGAATGATGAGACAAGGAGGATGTCAGAGCACAAGCTCTTAAGTATCACCAGGGTGCCGAGAAGTGAAGCAACTTATGTGGCATGGAAGCAAGTCGTGGAGCTGAGATGTGAACCCAGGTCTGTCTGATTTCAAAGCCTATTTGCTCTGTAACTAGTAAGCTCTGCTGTCTCAGTCTCTGTGAGGCAGGACCATTTGCTCACTGCTGTTGGAACACATCATTGCCAAGAATCATGCTGTTTGCCCATATCTACTGTCTATTCTCTGCTACCCACCCACAACCTACAGCGTTCCACGAGGCCTTCCAAGCTACTTCCTGAGATCACTGGCTAGAACAGGTCGCTCTCTCTCTTCATGCTCTATGTGTGTCTCCCCCTCTGTTCTCCAGATCCCCCTCGGAGTTAGTCATGCACATGCTCCTTGAGGAGAGGCAGTGTCACCAGGGACCAACACAGAAGAGGCACTAACTCAGTCAATCAGTGTGTCTTTTATGTGGCTCAAACTCATTCTTTAGATATTGTATCTTATCTACTCGATTGCTCCTTAGGAACAAGAATGAACTCTTAACCTATTTTATATTTTCAAGAAACCTAAAATAAAAAAATGGAAACTCAGACCTGGGCTGGGTTCCCAATCAAGTCCATAATATTCATTTGAATTAAAGTTGAATGCTATTGGTACACAACTCTGGTATAAATTTTTTTACTATCAAAACCTTGTAATAATGTAGCTTTTATTAATGGGGGAAAATTGGGCCCCATACTAATGGATACAAGCAACTCATTAAAAAATAGAAATATTAATGCCCTTAAGTGGTATATAATAATAAATAGACTTTATGAGTACATTTTCCTGAAATTTGTTCAAATTTCCATGCAAGTAAAAAGAACAGTCACAGTTCTGGCTCTTAAAAATTAATTGTACCTTTGTTAATGAAAACACACTTAAAAATCATACCACAAATTCCAATCTCACTTCTTAGGAAAATATAGATTATTTTCATTCCAAATATCTTTATCTATTACAGTTGTTTATTTAGTCCAACCACTATGATTTTAACAGAAAAAGAAGATCTCAAAAATATTCTAACTCCTTGTCACATATCCAGAAAGCAAAGGTATAGATGATCAGAATAAGTATTTCAATATTTAAATCTTGAAAATTAGATTTATAAACTTTGAGGCAAAAGATAATATAAAAGTGAAATACTACCTTTCTTACTTTCTAAATTAACTTATTTAATTCTATCTACTGTGAATAGAGAAAAAAAATTACCAAGCCAAAACATATTTCTTTAATAAGCTGGAAGATACGAGATTAAACTATATAACAATAGAAACAAATAAAGATGATCAAATTATCATAGCCTTTCAACAGATATTTATTCCAATTGAATCCTCACACTGTACTCACATACTCTAACAGTACACATAACAAAAGATCTGATGAGCTTTGGCAATCGTCTCTAAAGCTAAATCAATGTACCACCACTGAACAGACAGCAGAAACTTACCAGCTCCACAGATCCATAATGTTTCCTACTGAAATCCCCACGTCTACAGCCTAGGTCTTCCGAGACAGAGCTGGAACAAAAATGCTTCATCAGTATGATACATAGCGATCTGGCCACAAACCTTCTGCAAAAACCGACTACCATTTGCATACAGGGCTGCTGTGGACCAGGCTTACAGTGCCCGGCTGCTCACTGCAGGGGAGCCTCTTTGCAACAGACACAGTCCCCAGCAGCCATTGCAGAGCCTGGCTTTCATGGAGCCCTCAGTCAAAAGAAAAATGCCAGAGTCATCCCTGGAAGTATATGCAATGATTGAATTAAATATTTAGTCATTTGCAATCAATTGAAATTTCCAAGGCTACTGGTGGTTTATAATTTCATTTCTATAATAGCAAAGGGAATGGAAGCCTGCAGTAACTTGAGGCAAGGCACAAAGCTGCTGAACCAGATCTTGTAATTATCTTTTGCTTAAGAGAGCTTCTTTGTCCCAAATATGCGACATAAAAATATCCAGTGTCATTTAATGATATATTTTAAGGAGAAGACAGAACTCCAAAATCCCCATAGGCCCTGCTTCCTGCCCCCATCTTTAACATTTTCTTGTGTGCCAATATTTTAAAAGACCAGGACTAACAGACTAACTAGCTAAAAAAAAAAAATCTATCATCCGAGCATATTTTTTTAATATAGCAGCAGCTAATACTTTCCACCCTCTGCTCCCTCCCCACCTAAACAGGCTTAATTCAGATAAGAAAACTCACATGCGTTGTTAAAGAGCAATTAGAACAGGCAAAAGTGTTACTGCATTTGCATCTGGAATGCACAGCTACATCCTCAAAAGGCACATTTCTTATTGGCTAGTTTGTATATTTAAGACCCCAAGCAATACTCATGAAGCCAACAGAGATCCACAAAACACGTTTAGATAAGTTTGGTTCTAATATGCCATGCAAACAACTCTAATAAAACCGCAAAGAAAACCGCACAGGAATTACATGTTTCATATATTAAAAATATTTGAAATAGAACATGCAGAGACAGGTGCACTCAGTACCTTTTCATCCTTCCTTACAAGGTAGCTACATTTTCTACATTACGGCCCTCTGCACATTCAGAAAGAGACTGACTGTGATGTTTAGCATCCACAGAACTGACTCTCTCTCAGGACGCTGTTTGATAGGCTCCAAGAAAGACAGCATGGGAGAAATGTGATTAGAGAGTCTAATGGTATTCTGCCTCCACCATTTCAGAGAGATGGCTGAATTAATTTTATAGGAGAGATTTAACCTTTTGTCCTCCTCATTCCCTTGGCTGAAAACATGTAGCAAACCAATGAAGACAGTTTGGAAGGGGCTCCTGGATCTCACCTGGGTAATCTCCCTGTTTCTCCTAGTGAAATGATTTCCTCCCCAAATCAAATGTCCAAAACAGAATTTAAAAACTGCCCTCCGTGTTCTAGCCTGGTCTTTTAAATTCAGCCCCTCTGCTCAATTTGAAACCCTCCTGGAGGCACTGCCATTGCCCCTCGTTTCAGTGCTAAGATCCTTCCACAGAGGCCTGAGACACCAACAGATGGTGGCTTCCCACAAGAGGAGTACCTGTGCCTGGACAGAGGCTGGGCAGAGTGGACGCTCTGTCTGCCCAGACCTTACCCCATGGCTGGGTTCAGCCAGGCCCTTGATGCCATCAATGCTGGCCGCAGTTCAGATTTGAAGGCTGGAGACAGGGAAAGGGAAGGCTCTGGCCCCTCACTGAACTGTTCTCCGCATCTCAGAGAGGACTCTAAATATGGTACCACCAGTCAGAAGCAAGTGCCAACACGACAGCCCTCTATTTGCAGATCAACCACCTCCCTAGACACCTCAGAGGAAAAACAGTATGCCATGAAAACAACTGAAAAGGCCCCAGAATGAGAATGCCTGCTGCCCTCTCCCCTCTGATCTAATTTCAGCCAGTACTTTGCAGAGAGAGCTTGCTGCTGGCTCCCACCATTGCATTTCTTGGGCTGCAGGAGGCTCTCAAAGCAACTATGTCAAAAAGCCCTCCCTCCAGAGATCCAGTGCAAGTGGGGAGTGGGGTGGTCCGGGGCTCCATACGGAGCTTCTTCTTCCAGTCCATGTCTAGTCCACTGCCTGACACAGGGAAAGTATAACAAATGCTGTGTTCATCAACGCACGTGCCCATCTGCCAGGTCCCCTAAGCTCATTTCTGACAGCATCCATTGGAAGAACCAGGGCAGGCTGCCTGCTAGCGTCCTCCCTGTCCAGCCACTGGTCTCTAGTTGTTCCATATAGGTAGGCCTGGCCATGAGTAATCCTAGCACTATTGGATTATCTTTGCTGGTAACTCTGACTTAACTGAGCCTTAGCTAAGACAACCTGTACAGAATATCCCCTGGGAGGCCACCCAGATGGACAGACTCTTAAGACCCCCAGGCAGACAGAGCTTCAAGGAGGAAGAAACCTGGGTCTCTGCATGACCATGTGGAAGACCATTTCAGAGAATCACAGATGACAATTTACTTATAGCTGAACTCAAAACAAAGGCGGTGTCTGGTCTGGTGCAATTACAGCACCTCCCTAAAATACCTGGCACAAGGTCAGTGGTCAGGAAGGAGCTGTCAAGGAACCTGGAAAAGTGGTCCTCTATATTACAGAGCAGTAAAATTGTTGATGAAAGTCACACCCGCCGTATCTTCCATGGCTGTAGTCCTTAGGAAAGGGGCCAGACAGAAACAGAGTGAAGGCCTGTATTAGTTCCTATTGGCTAATCTTCCCAAGGTCTGGGTTTTTGTTGTTGCTGTTTTTACCAAGAAGAGAGAAGCTATGGTGAAAGCTAAATGGGATTCAAACAAAGATAGATGAGAATGGAGAGCCTCCAGGGACCAAGGGCCCCAAGGAATTGAGAAACCCAAACAAGAATAAAGTGTTCTGACTGTTGACGTGCAGACAGTGTGATCTGGTACTTCTTCTCTATCTAGGAAAAATTCCCTGGAATAATTAATTTGTGGTGTCTTCCCTCTTCATACTGATGAACAGAGGGATTCGGAGGACCAAGAGGGGTGGAATCGTAACAAGAAAAAAAAGCCCTGGTCTTAAATGGCCACATGGCCAACTAGAAATTCCCTCCACGGGTTGAGCTATGAGGGAGAAATAACTGGCATTGTTTGAAGGTTTATCTGTTACAGCCGCTCTCCATAGGGACCAGAAGGTACTGTGAGAACCGCTTCCACAGGAGGGGCTGTCAGGGTGCCTGGAGCAGGATGTAACTCCACAGGGATATAATGGTGTCAGAAGATGGCAGGCCAAGGCTCAAGCCAGCCCACTCTGCCTGTTGTGAAACAGCACACCACTGTTTATGATGTCTGTGGCTGCTTTTGCACTGTTCTACTTGATGGGTGCCTACAGACATTTGACAGACCACAAACCCCAAGTGATCTGACTGGCAGTGTGTGTGTGTGTGTGTGTGTGTGTGTGTGTGTGTGTGTGTGTGTGTGTGTGTGTGTGTGTGTGTGTGTGTGTGTGTGTGTGTGTGTGTGTGTGTGTGTGTGTGTGTGTGTGTTAGGGGGGCAGGGAGGTTATTCTTTTTGAGACAGAGTAAACCCCAAGTGATCTGACTGGCAGTGTGTGTGTGTGTATGTGTGTGTGTGTGTGTTAGGGGGGTAGAGGGGTTATTCTTTTTGAGACAGAGTCCTGCTATGTAGCTCAGGCTGGGCCTTCAACCTGCAAGCATCCTGCTTGGCCTCCCCAGGGCTGGGGTTACAGGCAGGCTCCAAGAGTTCCAGCTTATGCTTGTGCTTTGTAGAAAAGAAATGATTGTTCTCAGTGTGGAGAGTGGGTCTCTGGCCTATTTGTAATGGATTTGTTGGTGAAAATACACTCACATAACACAGTGGTGATTTTCAGACTTTTGACTCCATCACACTGGCTGAGGGAGCCTTGTAAGAATGCAGGTTCCTTGACTGCCCCCTCTAAGGGACATCTGTGGTCCCCACCAGCAGCCAGGGAATTCTGATGCAGGTGGCCTGCAGATGATGCTCTGAAAAATACTGCTCTTCCAGATGGCTCTGGAATCTCCAAGGAATCCGTGAGCCTCCCTGCAGTGCTTGTGTAAGGAAGAAGGAGGCCTTAAGTCCTCAGCCAAGGGTGCTGTCGCTGGCAGACGCCCGGTGTCCTCCTTTAGACCATGGCTTCAGCCATCAGTGCGGGTTCTTAGCCGCATCTCCCAGCTATGGCTGAAAACACCACCAACTTCATTTGATTAGAAAGAAGCAAAGTCCTAAGCATAATGTCTAGTACATGGAAACGACTGAGGGTTAGCTTTGGATTACAGTTCCTAGTATTAATATGATTTCCTCTCATGTTTTTTCAGAGAGAGGTAGGAGGAGAGGGAGTATAGAATAAATAACTACTAACTTTCTGGGGTTTAGAACGCCCCTTCTCCCTCCTACAACAGTAAGGACAACCAGGGACCAAGCAGCAGGCTTCCTGACACAGAGCTTCCAGAAACTTCAGTGTCACCTCTCCTCCTACGGGTGTTGGTCTAGCAGGATGACCTCACCTAGAAAACACTCAGGACCCACCGTTGCCATGACAGGAAGAGAGACAGTGAAATCTGGCAAGATTGCAGCGCCCAAAGCAGGCAGGTGCCGGCGGGAACTGGGAGCTTCCAGCTCCCCACTTGCCATGCGGTCCAGGCTCTAAATAGAAACCTTCTGGTTTAGCAAATTAATGTGTGAGGATGTTAGCTCATGCTTTGCAAGCACGCACAGAGCGGAAGACCTCTGTGTTAAATCTCTACATATGGCCTAGGACGGAAACAAAGTGTCCCAGCTCTAGGCAGAGGCTGGACAAATTGCCATGATATAAGTCAGCTTCCTGGAAAACAGGATAACACCCTCTAAAAGTCAAAGCTCTTGAACCCGATTCAGAAAACAAGGGAATCAGGCAGTCCCTACCTGGAAGCCCAACTCAGTGATTTGGGCCTTCTCCCAGCTGGCCTGGGACCAAGGTGGACCTTCACAACTGGCCAGACCCCACCAGCAAGGCCTCGATGACTTTGCCCTAGTGG